TTTTCACAGTTCAATTTAAGAGCCAAAAAACATAGGGAAACAGCAGGGGAAATGCTCTGTTTGTGATGCTGGTTGTTATCGTAACTTATCAATAGGACAGTTTACTGACGTAAGAGTTTCCTTTAAAGACTGTGTATTTAGTCATGACTTAGCAATGGAGGACTGACTGATTCAGGCCCTTGCTAAAAGACAACGTATAAGTTTTCTGATGATGCACAGGATTCTATGCCACTCATTTTTGCTGCTTTTAAAAAGAGATGGTCTTTGGTTTGGATAATATAGTGGCCCTTGTTGCTGAGGCAAGCACAACACAACTGAGGTGGGAATGGTGCTCAAACATGGGTTTAAGCCATGTTTCCCTTACCCCAGTCCTAAGCAGGTGCCTCAACATGACTTGCAGCAGCCTGAGAAGTTGTTTTAGAGAGTAACTATGCCCACTGGCCAGTATCACAATTGGAAATCCTCATGGCAGTGGGAAGCCCCACCCAGGCTTTTCTTTCCTTTACCTGCTTCTAGGGTTGGGTTTCCAAATATCCTCATGTTTGAACCCATTAGTAAACAGTCAAATGATCTGACATAATCACAGTTTATTGAGCAGTGGAGAGTAGGACATACTGGACTCATCCTATCAGTCAGCCACGATTAAAATCTTCCTAGATAATGTCATTTTCTGTGTGTGCAGATTAACCCATTGAACCCTACAAAATTTTTGTTCCAGACTATTATTTGTGATTTTTTTACCCTTTGGCATTTATTCTTATTCCTCCCACTCAGCCACTTTTCTGCTTGTCTTCCCTAAAACCCTATCCCACAAACAAATTAAAATATTCATGAGACCTTGAAATCTAGAAAAAAATACCAATAATGTATTGTCTTCTTTTAAGACTTCTTGAAATAAGGCTACATGACCAGATATCTGAAACCCTGTTTGACAATAGTCCACATTCTTCCTTAACCATATCACTGTTTGCATATCTGCCTTTTTTAAACTCCAAGATGGGATTGCTTACTCCTGAACACTGATTTTTCTGATGCACAATAGTCCAGCTCCATACTTTGTAAATGTTAATTCTTTCTCTCTCTCTCTCTCTCTCTCTCTAGCAAGAATCAGTCCCTTGCTATTACCATCATAACATTGTGATGACAAAAAATTATGAATAGTCCATTTATATGCTGAGTTCCACTGAGTGTCAAGTAGTAAATGTTTGATTTGTAAATATGTAACGCGTAGTTCTGCTGTCCTACACACAGGTGACAATCCAGAACAACTTCATTTAAGAAATCAGAATGTGTGTAGTGTTAGGACTGTACATGTGTTGCCAGGAATAGTTAGGCCCACAGATTTGATGTTACAGGCAAATGTGATGCCTGTGGCTTATTAGAGTTTTCATCTTTTTTTAACCTTTGATTTTCTTCCACCAACCCAAACAAGTTTGTGTTTATCCTGCTCTTAGACACAAGAGATAATGATAGGCAGGGGGAAAAAAGGTGCATGCCTGCTGCTTTCCTCTGCTTCTGACAGACTAATTTCCCAGCTTTTACTCCTGCCATGTGAACTGTTGACATCTTTTGTCTCTTCTAGTCCTTTTGAGGTTTCTTTTGACAGCCTTGCCTTGGCTATTTTCTATGGTGTTATTAATTTTTTGTTTCTTGGCATGGCTGGAATTTTTTGTTGGGGGGAGGTTGTCTGGCTAGAATGTATAATTAACTATTCTGTATAATAGATACCAATAAGTGTAAAATAACAGAAATGTCCTAGAAAAAGAAATGTGCATTTGTCAGACACTTGGAATCAAAATGTCTTCTAGAAGGTTTAGTTTGACATTTCCAAAAGTTGCTTTTGATGTTTCCATTTTCATTGTCTAATTTGAGACATCTTTGGCTTGTTCATGGATACTGAACATTCATGCCATAAGAAACTTCTACATTCCAAAAGACTGGTTACCAATGATACTATAATAAGCTAAGGCTGAAATTTCTACATGGCCTGTGGTTTTGTGCACTGATCAATGGAAACAGCTGATTTAATTATTTCTGTACCAGATAGATTTTACTTGATCACTAAAGTAAGTTACATAGTGATCACAGTAATGAAACAGAAGAGCAAATTTATGACATTTTACTGTTGATGAAAGAGAAGTGATTTAGGTGACTAGCAGAGCAGAAGATGCAAAAAGTGATTTTTGAATGTACTGAGCTGAAGTTAACAGAAACTGGTTCTTCCATGTCTTTGAGTATCAGGCCAGGAATCAAAAGAAGTGTGTGAAAAAAAGTGTACCTACATTCAAAAGTATGAGGATGTGGAAGTAGTGTGGAGTAGATGCAATAATATATGACCATTGGAAAAGACTTTATAGTCATAGACTTTATAGTCATAATTTAAGTCTGTTTTAGATCAGATTCATGAACATAATGTTTCTGGTTTCAAAATATATTAACTTAAGAAGGAAGAAGAAAGAGCTTTGTTCTTACGTCTTTTAAAATCTTGAAGTACAGGCAGTCCTCGGATTTAGGACACAATTGGTTCCTGAAAACTGCAGCTTAAGTCGAAACATTGTAACTCGGAACCAATTTTCTCATAAGAAACAATGTTATAAATGGGGATTGGTTCCTGAACCAAGGCCCGATACCCTATTCTCACCAAAAATACCCAGAATTTTGTACTCAATCAATTATAGATGTGTAATATAGCTACATTAATGTATTTGTATTGTAAATAGCAATCATATTGATTTGGAAAGACTTCTCTGAGGTGACTTTGCTGGACTTTTTGAAGGGTTCTTGGCTGGAGTCTTCTCAGGAGTCTTGGCTGCAGGTTTTTCTGGAGGCTTGTCTGCTTTCTTAAAGAAAGTGTCCAAGGAAGTTTAGATAGATGTTCTCCAGGGAGATGAGTGACTCAGCGAACTTGTTCACTGGCGTGGCGTCGCATTGGGTCAAGCATTGTAAAGTCAAAACTGCTGTCATAAAGTTGAAACAGGGTGTCAATTTATAAACATTGTAAGTGTGAAACGTTGTAAGTCGAGGACTGCCTATATTAGCTTTTCCTGCTATACTTTTTTAGCTATTTGCAAACGTTCAATTCTGTTTTTCTGTTCTGTAAAGACACTGAACCAGCTGGTTTAAGAATACAAATGTCTTCAAGTGACAGCTCTGATTTCCTTCACCAGAAACAGGGGCAACGTGTAGGGGGTGCATGGGGGTACACGTGCACCCCCTGAGATGGCCAGTGCACCCACTGTCAAGCTGTGCTCCCTGTGTAGCGGGCAGGCAGGAGCACCAGTGCTCATGCCCCCCTGACTGAAGAGGCACCAGACACCCAAGACCAGAAATATGCTTTCTACCATCTTCTGCTCTAACCCTGTCTGCTTAGACTCCTGCCTAATAAGGATCCCCAGAAAAGAGAGAGAGCAGATAGGAAAGGGAGTCTGACCAAAGCAAGAGATGTAGTAAGCTGCATTTTAAGTATGATCTCTAGAGATTATTTTTAAATGTGGGGCCTAATCCAAAGCCCATTGAAGAGTCCCATTGACTTCAAGGGGATATGTGTTGGAACATCTGCTTTTTGGGCTTATAGGCACTAAGAATATTTCTCAAGCCTGTGCAGTTGGGCTCCAGTCTCTCCCAGGCTCCCATGGTGCAGAATAGTGTTGGTATGTTCTAATTATTTTACAGTACATGGCAACAACCTATAACATTGCAAAATACAGGCTTGGTGAGTAAAGTTGCAGGTTTACTTTGAAATTGAATATATATGGAAATTGTCTAATTAAAAAAATATCAGAAGACAGCAAAAAATTATTTAGGTTTGGTATTGTTTGAATACAACACGGGGTACATCTACATATGTGCTTAACTATGCAGTAGACTAATTTGCTGAAGTGTAAAGTGTCACAGTCTACACATGCAATGCTATTAGATTGCAGCAAACTAAATATTCACCTCCATAAGATAGTACTGTAGGGGACAGTATGGTGGTAAAAGTAACCACGCCTAAACATGTTTGTAAATGCTAAGCTATATGTACATTGCATAGGGTCAGCCCAGGCAGCAAGGGGTCAGCCCCTTTCCTGCTGCCTAGCCACAGGGCTTTGCATGCTGGGGTACTCTCGTGCTCCAGCCAGCCCCTGTGCTGTCCAAAGTCAATTCTCAGAGCCCAGAACTGACCCCCGGGGACCCCTGCCATCTTGGAGCTGCTTCACCCTGGCCCAAACTATTGTAGTCGCAGGTGCAGCACCTGCACATGCGCCCTGGACCACAGCAGTTTGTGCATCTACATGTGCCATTAAGGTGCCATGACAAATTCAGAGGCAAACTATGCTGGAGTTTATCACGTCACCTTAATGGTACATGTAGATGCACCCAGGAGTGCTTTAAAGCACACTCATATTGAAAAGTATGTTTTACACAGGCAGAAGCATTTAGTGATACATGAAAAATAACATCTTCCTGTTTGGAAAAGTAAATGAAGGCATTAGTAATCTTTTGATAACATTATTAATGTTTACCCCTTGATTTGTGGGCAAATAAATGGAAGTTTGATCAACTGTATCTATATAGTCACAGTTTAAAAGGAACAGGGATGAAAGATTAGAATCCTGTGCCACTGAGATCCTTGACGTTGTCATCTTGATGGTGATCTTATACCAATATGAGCATCAGTGTTGGGGAGGAAGCTGTAAGGACTCCAAACCATGAACACCCGTCTCCTTTGTAAACGTGCTTTCATATTTTATACAGCAGCAAAAGATTTCTCGAAAACCAGCCATCTTCCTCCCTGCTCACATATACTAAGCTGCTGCTTATGTGGGCCCAACTATTGAGTATCATTTCCTTCTGCTGGGTGGTTTGTCAGACTTGAATTTGCGATCCTAGAGGGATAGAAGGGTCTTAGGATATACTGCATGGGACCACCCCATTGTTTTTATTTGTTCATCACTCACATTGGAACGAAGCATTGTGTTCATATGTTTAATGAAGGCTTTCTCTTCTGTTTGGTACAGGGCCGTATCTGCAGAAAAGCTGGCAAATCAAAAAAGTCATTCAGCCGTAAGGAAGCTGAAGCAACATTTAAGAGTTTGGTGAAGACCCATGAAAAATATGGGTGGGTCACTCCTCCTGTCTCTGATGGCTGACATTTGCAAGCCACACCTCAGCCGCTAAACAGAACCAAGTACTCTGACATCTCCTCAGTGCTATACACCGCCCGTCCTTTTCTACTTCAGCTTCTGTTAGATACCATGAATGTCAAGGAGACATTTAAGTTATTTATGAACAGATATGTTTACAGAGGGAGAGAAAACACATGCTGTGTTGGGTTATGTTCCAGGACTGCTGAATGGTCATCATTAAGTCACTTTAGAGCGGATGTTGAGATTGTGTCATTTGCCCCCCATACAGGCCACATTGTCTTCAGCTTCTTTCCATGACAGCAGCAGCACCAAGTAGCAGGAGTGGAATTCTATCCATTGCTGCTCAGTTATTTAAATGTAAATGAAAAAAGTTAATATTTAATAGGGAAGCAGTGCATTGCAGGTACATGTTTGCTGTGCTGTTTATCTTTGTTTCCTAGCAGGTCAACATAACTTGACGATTTGTCTTTATGTGGAGCTGTGGTCTGCTGTGACTAAATTTAGACCTCATTTGTGCTCTATATATGACCTTTGATTCATAAAAAGAACAGAATTATAACAACAAGAGGTTCTAGTGTTGAAAAACTGTTCAATGAAATCACCCAGTTGGTCAAAACGTGCTATCTATGCTGATATTGTGGTGTGCTGTTGTTCTGAGATAAACCAATGCGATTAGATGAAGGTCAGGTGAAGCTTCAGATATCAGATACACCCACTTGTGGGTCTCAAAGTGGTTAATAGTAGAATAGTTTTTAACTTCCCAGCAAAATGCAGTACTCCTACAATAGCATGTTGCCTGTCAACTCTTCGGTGGCAAAACAAACACAAAACAATGCACAAATCAATCTTAAAAGTTATCCAAGTCATTTGAAAATGATGTGCCAGTGACAAGGTAAAAAGTTAGATTTTCAAAGAAAGTGAAACAAGTGGTTTGTAAGATGATTTGCATGACTGGATTTTTTTTATTTTTACTAAATAGACATTGTATGTACTTTGAGCCCAGGATCTGAAAAAACCCACTGATGTATATAAATGTCCTGCTATTTAATCATTAAGATTTAAGTTTTCTCTTCTGTTAAATAATTTTAAAAACTTTCTAAGAGACTCCATAAAATCTGGAGATAATGTTTATAATATCATAAGGAAGGAGTTTAAAAATGTGGAATCCAAATGGAAAATCGTATTGGACACATTCTGAATAAAATTACCGGTACCATTCCACTGCCTCAAGAATTCAATCATTTTAGGCTGGTTTTTTAATTTTTATTTTATTCCAAGTAAGATTCATCACTGTGATATACTAGAAATCCTATAGGTATATTATGCCTACTGTGGTAGCATTTACAATTGAAAGTAGAACATTATTGATTGTAAAATGCAATCCAGTAAAAAAAGTATAGTGTCTTTGAAAAAGCATTCCTTTATGTGCCCAACATAAGTAAGATTAGACCATTGTTACTTTTAAAAATGGCTGAACAGTTTCTGGTTGCTGTTCAGCAGCATTGGGAAAATGTCATTTTCTAACTGTGTACGGGACTTCATGGGGTTTTAGTTTGTTGTAAAGCTGCCCAGAATAGCGAGGAACAAGCAAACTAAATGAACTGAAACAGGGGAGTGTTTTAGGGCCAGTTTAATGCCAGCATCCCACAGGAGGATGGCCTAGTCTATGCTTAAAAATGTTGCCAACCTAGTTATGTTGGTTTAAAGAGTGAAAAATCACACTCCTACCCAAGGTAGCTCTGCTGCCAGATACTTAAAGCTGCTGGTGCATTTATAAAAGCAAGAAAGTTCTTTTGCCCATCTAGCTTGTTCTGTTTGGAACATTGACTGTACCAGCAAAAGCACACTTTTTTTCTGGTGTAAACTATCTCCAGGATTTATCTAGGGGGTTTATCAGGGCAAGTAGACTGACTACCCCTTCCAGAGTTGATACAGCCCATGTTTTCATTATTAACTGGAGGCACAAAACTTAATTATTCAACCTTAAAAGTGAGTGAACAACTAAAAAAAGAATTTGTTTCCCCTCTCAATCTCTCTCCACAGTACATCAGTGCTGCTGGCCTCCAGTGTCCACATGTCTTATGACCCTCTGCATGATTTCTGGTGCCCTGCACCTTCTACCTGGGTCATGCTCCCTGAACTGTTCCACAGAGTCATCACCCTGTTATCCAAACTTCTCTGCAGGGCCCACTGTTATCCCGGTGCTTATGGGTAACTGATGATTGCATGTCTTCAATAGAAAGTATCTAGGGGCTTTGTATATCTATCTTTTTTTATAATGTAAACTTTATTAAAGTAACCAACTCAAGGCCACCTATATGAGGATCTAACTAGCTTTTTAATCATTTTTTGTCCCTTCTGCCCATTTCTTATACTCAGTCACTATGTCTTGCCCTAATGTGAGCGCCATTATAGCAGGGCCTGGCTTTTATGCTGCATCTGTGCAGAACCCATCATAATTATATTTGATTGGGATTTGTGCCGTAAGGCACTACCATAATTCAGTATGAATGGCATGCATGAATCCAACAGCAAAATGTTGCCTTTCATAACCAATAGGATCATAGGAAAGTAGGGCTGGAAGGGAACTCACAGAGTCATCTAGTCCAGACCCTGGCTTAAGGCAGGACCAATTCAGGACCAAACCATGACAGTCAAGTGTTTGTCTAACCTGTTCCTGAAAAATCCAGGGTGGGAGATTCTACAGCTTCTCTAGGCAGTCAGTTCCAATGCTTGACCATAACACTCAGTCACCTGTTTGATTATTTATTTAAATATTAATATTGTAGTCTAATTAATATATAATCATTAATATTTATGAAGAAAGGAACAGACCTGTTTTATTTAGGCATCAGATAACTTGCCACATCTGGTGCAGTTATTAAGGGTTCCTAGAACCAGAGAGCACTACAAGGACTGAAAGGCTTCCCTTCCTTCCTCAAAAGCATTGAATTGACATTGTATTTCAGAATGCCATGAGAAGCAACGTGAGACTGAGGTAAGTCCGCTGGGGAATGTTATTTTCTCTGTGATGCTTTCCCTGTCCTTTTCTCCTGTCTGCTGTGATTATTTTAAATATGATAAATGGCAATTGTTCTCCCTGAGAGTTGTGTCTTTAATGCCTAATTAAAGAGCTCTGTGAAAGAAAACAGCATGGTGGGTGGATTGCTGTCTTTTGCCACTTTCTTCATGCCTGTTTGTCATGTATTTTTCTTACAATATAGTTTGAAATGTTATTGTTAGCAGCTTGCAAAACAAGGGTAGGGTGGTTGAAAAAAAGTATGGTTGCCTTTCAGCTCTGGGAGCTCCTTCACATCTGTCAGAAGTGTGGAGCAGGGAGAGTATCTGATACATATCACACAATACTAAATCAGTGAGAGGCCTGGAGAGAGCAGTGCTGTGTGGCAGCAGCCCCAGGATAGGGGTGGGTTATGACATCCCTTAGCAGGGACCCCTGTGGGAAAGACAGCTCCAAACCAGGGAAGGATGTAAATGCTCCAGCCCTAGTAAGGAAACATCACACAGCAGGAGAGCATTGTACTGGGTGGCATGGCCAGTGGGCCAATTGGGGAGCACAGAAGGAAGGATGTACATAAGACAGGAAGGAAAAAAATCACTGTGGAGATGATGGAAGAGAATTAAGATAAATAGAAAGACAGCATTCCTACCCTAGGAAAATTAGAATGCATTCTCAATGATAGTAGGATCATGACAAGACAATAACACGCCTGAGCACTATGGGCCTGATTCTGTTTCACCTATTAGGCATGTAAGTGTACTTGGGCATCTAAGTACAATTCTGCTTGAGTCCCTGAAAACTAGTTAAAGCAAAAAGTAGGTGAGTTTTCCTCCTCCTTGCTGCTTTTTTGTAACTCAGTCTGAGGGGTCAGCTGATGGTGTATCATAAAAGTAGAGGCATTCATGGATTTTACAGCCTTGAGTTCAAAAAGGTTGAGACCCATTGACTTAAGGCACTTGGTAGGTGGAACAGAATCTGGTCCTACCTGCATTAACATTTAAACTACTTGTAAGGATGTGTTGTTGTGTCCATACTGTTGATGAAGAACAGTTTCTAATTTTCCTACTGTTGTCAAGGACAGCAAATGACAGAAGGGGAGGAGAAAACAGGAAGAGGAACATGGTAGAGAAAGATGGAGGTAGAAAGAACCAGGAAAAGGATGTTATGGAGAAAAAGCGAGAACAAAACTAGACAGTAAAAGCTAGGGAAGATATTATAAGGAAAAACTAGAAATGAACCAAGAAGGAGGCAAAAAAAGAGGAAATGGTGCATGTGTGAGAAAAAATGGACAAAAAATAAGAAAATCTGTGGCATGGCCTGGCCAGAGAAATCATTGTGAGAGGTGGCGACCTATGATATGGTTCGGTGCACAGTAGTACTACAGAGAAAGGGGTTGATAACAAACAATGAGCTAGAAGATCAATTTTCTTTTCTTTTTTTTTTTTGTGGAAACACATGACTCTAATCTGTCCTGCACTATTTTGGCAAATAAGACAGCCAAAGCACTTGACAGAGAGCAGGTATTAAAAATGTTGAATCTATGCAACTGGAATTGATGCAGGCTATCCACCCAATTTTATAAAAGGAGGCATGTGTCAGCCACAGGTCCTGAGCTGGCCCACAAATAGGACTGGCTGTCCTCCTTTCTGTCTGAGCTCCCAGCCATCCATACGATAAGGGACTCTCCAACACAGTGGGGAATTCAAAACCTTTATCCTCACTACTTCACCCTAAGAGCTCCAAATCAATGAACTACCTGGTAAGGAGGAAGATCAGCCTGTTCAGGAATGATATTTTCCATTAGCTTTCCCTAAAGAAGAAACCATCTTCTGAGGAAGATGAAAACTAGAAGAGGGGTTTCTCTCTCAGATTGACACCATGTCTCAAGATACATGAGGGTGTGAGCATTGGACAAGGATTACATAAAATGAGTAGGGATGTCTCCCAGCATAATCCTGTATGTCTAACTGAAGAATCCTCAGGTTGAATAGCTTGTTATTCATGCAGAGAAGCCATCCTATTCTTGAGCACTGTAAATCTAGCTATATACATGCCTCCTTGGCTTAAGGGCTCTAAGAGCATGTCTTATGTTCCAGCCCAGAAAGGACATTTCTGTTCAGAAAGTTCCCAGGTGCAAAGCTCCAGGTTTGCTGAGAAGATCTGCTGAGAAGTCCAAGCAAGTGGAAGAGGTGAAGCTTCTTTCTTTGGATAAGGAAAAAAGGGTATATTAAAATGTCTCATTCAAAGTCAGGGCATGTTCTTAAAGTGTTGACTCAGTCCCCAGGTATACATCAGCACAAAGCTACAGTGGGGCTACTTGCATAAAAAAGGAAATGCTGGAGTGGGACCCTGAATCCTTCTTGGTACAAATCCACATGATGTGCCTGTATGAAAGGTTTGATTTCAGAATGCTGGACTGGCAGTAAAACATGCAAAGGCCAGCAGTAGCCAAATAACCCTTTTGGTTATCAGTACACATCAAGTAAGCAGCCCTGTGTGCATTCCATAAAAGCTTGGAATACATTATAAAAAAGGAATCTCTTTCTGTTCAGCTGGCTCCATAGAGATGTAATATTATAGAAAGAGCTGGCACTCAAGATAGAGATCTTTCCTGCACGCTCTCTGCATTTCCCAGTGCATTCTGTCTCATGTCTGTCAATCTTCTGATCCAAGCCTGCAAATATCTGCTCTCCATTGAATCCAGTGGTTCTGATAACAAATAAAAGTGCCTGACCCAGGTTCCATTTTGCAGCATAGATGGGACGCTAAACATGTTCCTGCCCTGTGAGGTTCAGGGACATGTTTGGAAGCCTGCTTATGTTGCAAACTGGACTGGTTTTCAAGCTGCTCTCAGGGCAAATAGGTGGAACCCAAAGGCTTGTCTATGCTGCTGAGACTCCTGAGTGTGTATCACTATAGTCTCCCCCGCCTACTCCCACTCCATGTGCACCAATCCTAGAAATGAGGCACTGAAGCCACCCTGAGGGAAGCCCCAGTGCCATTCTCATGCATGTCCCCGGCAGCTTGAAAGCAGCAACAGGGGCACCTCCAGGGGGGTGTTACATGATCCCCTTGGCATTCTAATTACACCAGCTTGCCCCAGTTTGCACCAATCTGCACTTATACCCACGGATAAATTGTGCCTCCATGTTGATCTCCTCTGAACTTGACCCCCTGAGTTGTAGGCTAATTTTCTTTGCAGCTTGACGTTTACATTCACTTTTTTTACAAGCCTGAATTTTCTTCCCACTGTGCTCAAGTGATGTGTCACGCTCTGTGAAAGCATTGGTGCTTCCTCACACTGTGGAGCCTTGGGCAACTGGCTGATGACGCAGTTAGCAATGCAAAATGAGAAACGGTATCATTTAGTGAGGCTGCTTGTTGTTTTTTAACTCTGCTTGCTTCATCTTTTGATGTGATTCACTTAAAAAATGTAGCACGATAATAGCAGCAGCAGCAGAAGGATGAAAAAGTACTAGTGCTATTATGGCCAGCAGCTGGGATCTATCTGTTTATTTATTTATGGTGATATCTTTGGTTTATGTTACTAGAAGTCATTGAAGGAATTCCAGGGAACCAGAAAGGTACCTGAAATGCAATTAGCAGAGGTGTCAAGTACATTTTAATATAGGATAGAACATATTCATAGCAGGTATATTTCACCAAGGGAGAATTCAGGAATGTCTCAGCGCTCTAAAAAATGTCCTACTCCATTTCAACTCAGCTTGCCAGTCCACTTTAATGCTCATTATCTTCTGTTGTCAACTATTCTCCCATTTTTTTAAACTCTATGATTTTGGTGTTTTAAATGATTCGTGGTTTGCTAAATGAAGTCTTTGAAGTATGTCATGGGTATTCTCTATAAAAATCAATGAAACGTAACTGAACCAAATC